AGAACGCACAAAACTCAAAAGTTCAAGTGTCATGATACTCATCGACCTTCACCTGACAACATACTTCCAATTCAATAGCGACCACCACCCAATGTCATCGTTGACTATTTATCCTCACCGTCACCACATTTGCCTAACTGGTCACCATGTCTCATTCAAACTTCAGGAATCACCTCTCAAAGCTGGTCACCAATGAGCACTAATTCAGTTGAATTTCGAGGGTGGGGTGGGGGGTGGTTGTGCGGATTTACAGATATTTTTCAACTCGGTATTCATCGTGGACTAGCTTCGAGAGGTGATTCTCGAAGTTCCAATGGGAAGTCGTTACCAGTGGGGTAAACCTGGTAACCGTGAGGATAATTACTCAACGATGACATTGGGTGGTGATCACTTTATCTTGTGAAGTGACAGAAGTAGGGAGTATGCAACACTGGACTCCACCGACACACTGACTCAATGGTCATGTGCTGGCCATGGAACGTGAATGTGGTGGGATCGAGCCGTGGTTGTGTCGTGGGAGTTCGGAACTGCTAAACTGTCCCATACTGGGATGAAACAGGTATGCATTGCTCCTATGTTTCCAATGTTCCTCCAACTGATGTCAATCCATGATGATCGGCAACTTCAAAAATCTCTAAATCCCTACAAACTCTAAAATTCAATACATGATTAGACTGATAGTTCTAGATCAATAAATTATCTGTCTTGATAGGGTTTATCATTTTGAATTTTGCTAAATTCTGTGTTCCACTATCCTGGCTGACCGTGATTGCTAGTTTTGATCTATGTACGTGACCTAACAATCGATATATGGCATCTTATAGGTAAGCTTATTTCCCTTAATCAACAAACTTTCTGTATGAGTGAGTTTATGCGTTTAAATAGCACTCCTCCCCCTGACAGACTTTCTCATTTTACCTCTTTACTTGGCAATAGTACATAGGATTCGAATTACCTCTTAGGCATGTCAGTTCTAATGAACTTTATAACATATCCATAGGTTAACTATTCAGTGGTAATTTCCCATCATTGATGCATAAATGATGGGTAGTGGCTAGCAATGGAATCCAGGATATGCTTTTCGTCTTATTTACAACTGATTAATTGGATGTAACCGCCTTCCAGTGACCCATCCCTTCAAACACTAGAGCCTTATCCACTAGGCCATCGATTCAAGATAAACACTTCTTGTTCAACAGGTATAGGTTTCTCAGTTTTGTTCCTTGTATCATCCAATCCTTGATTGAACCGAATTGATACGTCTCTGTTGGCATATTGTCTCCTGGGTGGACGCCTAGATGTTGTCTGTGTTTCATTGTGTTACATTTTCTCATTTAGACTTTATTGTTTACTCATCAGACTCCTAGCTAGATTAATAAAATAATCTGCTAAGTCTATGTTGATAGATGTAGAATGAAATGAGGTGAAATCGAAGTATCTGTTTGACTGTGATGATTTCATGTAAGCAATGGAATCTAAATTGTCATCTTCTTTTGGTTTGAAATTGCAGTCTGACATAGAAAATTCTCTTTCCTTATTTTCTAATTCACAATTAAAACGGATTGTATCCATTGCTGACTTTGTATACGTCGGAAACCTCTGGAAATGGTTTGATTTCAGCAGGGTCAATGTATCACACACATGTCTCTAACACATTTTTCGAATGGGTTGAAATGTATCTTAAAGCTTCATGTTCCCAACTCTACATAAACACGTCTGCCATCATTAAAGATATTAGGAATATCATCGCTGCTCCTTCTGTCTGTGCATATATTTTATCCTGGAGCTTGAAGACTGTATCAGTTAAACATATCTGTTTCCTCCTACCATGATTTCTTCAATGAAACTTCAGTTCCATTACTTAGTCTGTTTCTGACTACCGCTGGTGACATATTAATTGGTATATTTTGACAGAGGCTCATCATATCAATGCCAATGAATCCTTCTCCGTTTCAATGCAAAGGAATTAGTGAAGTTAGACTCTGAACGATTTCAATCAGTAATAATACTGTACCTCTCACTATGCGCTAACTGACGCACAACACTAGGTGTATTTCTTGACCTGAAGGCGGCGGCATTCAACTCCGTTGATTGAGAAGTCCTATGGAAATGTCTCTCACTGAAAGGCGTACTGAGTAAGAAAATGACCTTATTGAAGGCTCTCTACTCAATTTTATCACAGATATTCCCATAGAGGTCTCCCTCTCCTCACCTGACTACACACAAGTTGACCCAATCAAGGGAAAATTGTCGCTACACCTAGAATAAATATCCACATCACATAGTCCTGTTAGGTGAAGACACTGACAAAATGCGGAATCTTCTAAACACCTTGAGTGTCAATTTCGGAATGACTGGAATGTGTTTATCACAAGCCAAATACAAGTTGTTGCTTCAGGATTGGTCTTCAACGGTGCCCCACCACGGTTAACAATACACAGTGTAGTGGTTGATTGTGTCGACCACTTTGCTTAACTGCGAATTGGGATCAGCTCTGGTGGCTAGTTCAGTGGTTGATGAAATTTCTACACGAACGCAGAAGGCTGGGTTGGTTTTCACTAACTTACACCACCTGTGACGCCGCCGTTATATTCGATAGTCTATTAAGAGCCAGATGTAGTGCACAGCAGTCGACTCTGTTCTACTGTATGTCTGTGAGACATGTTCATTGAATGTGGGATACATGAGAATGCTGGCTGTAGATGTTTGACCACCGTCGCCTTGGTAGTATATGTCATAATCTGTGGTGTCACCACATGAGTAACTCAGAAGTGAGGTGTAAAGTTTAGGGAGGAGAGGTTAGTTGACACAGTTTTGAACCTTGATCGACTGACATGGTTGGGACACATATTACGTGTGCCAAATGACTTTTCGGGGAGCATTTCTCGTTCGCAATCATACCTAGGTAATTCACCCACCTAGGCAGCGTCGTTTCAACTACAGGCAGCAGAACTGATGACGATGTCAAAGCAGCCGGCATCGGAAAGACAGCAAGACAGGCCTTCCTGCATTAATCTAAAACAAATCAGTGTAGAGATCTACTCCACTGCACTCAACTCGACTCGACTCCACTCAGCATATAGCATGAACAATATCCAGATTTCCAATAATAATGTCAGTCAAGTCAGACACTGCTACCATGTGACGGTTGAGGGATTTGGCGCCTTACGAAAAGTATTCTGCACACAAACTGCACACATACATCAAACCAACAGCTGTCACCTACGCTGACTCGATACTGACACTGAAGATGGAGGTAGATAAGATGGTGATAATAATAAGCAAGAATAAGCAAGGAGGAACTGTGACTGGCTGGCTGGCTGGCTGGCTGACTGGCTGGCTGGCTGGCTGGCTGGCTGACTGGCTGGCTGGCTGGCTGGCTGGCTGGCTGGCTGGCTGGCTGGCTGGCTGGCTGGCTGGCTGGCTGGCTGGCTGGCTGGCTGGCTGGCTGGCTGGCTGGCTGGCTGGCTGGCTGGCTGGCTGGCTGGCTGGCTGGCTGGCTGGCTGGCTGGCTGGCTGGCTGGCTGGCTGGCTGGCTGGCTGGCTGGCTGGCTGGCTGGCTGGCTGGCTGGCTGGCTGGCTGGCTGGCTGGCTGGCTGGCTGGCTGGCTGGCTGGCTGGCTGGCTGGCTGGCTGGCTGGCTGGCTGGCTGGCTGGCTGGCTGGCTGGCTGGCTGGCTGGCTGGCTGGCTGGCTGGCTGGCTGACAACGAACCAATCAACCAACATCCTATCACCTAACAAATATGCAGAAGAAGAGATTAGAGATGGATTGGATTGGGCATACATTGAGATGTTTTATGGACGTCACGCACCAGGTCAGGCAAAACCAGGCCGTCGAGTGGAACTGAAATGGGGAACGATGATTTTGGCGTCTGAGTCGAGGGTGATATGTATGAGATTGTGTGAGTAAGAAATGAAAGTTTGTGGTTAGTGGTGGCGTCAGGTTGAAAGGAGTGAAGAGAAGAGAGTGAAATGTTGATGTGCTACTGAAGCTCTCTGTTTCACTAGGAACCTAAAGGACAAATAATAATAAGGAGAAGAATAATTTACCAAGAAATTTTGCTGGTTAAAAATTATCAAATATTTTTTTTCATAAAATGAAGTAGAAAAATGTTTTGTTAAAAGATTATGTTCAGAAACTGGAGGAAAAGGTGCTGTTTTCTTTAAAAATACTACGATATCAGGGCAATGAAAGTCTGATAACTGCTTGTCTTTGAATACAGTGTTCCACTTTCAAATATTTCATGTATATATGACTTAAGTAGATTTAAGAAGGATTGAATTATCATGTTTGATAGTGATCAAAGTGTGTACTTCATTATCTGTGTTAATTCAATGCTGGATAACTTCACTATTCAAAATATTTGTTCTCCTAAAGTTTAAACTATTTGCTACATTTGATCAAGGTAAAATTAAAACTAATTTGAAGGTCACAAGAAGTGAACTGTGCCAGTAGATATCTACCATTTTGACTGAAAGAGAAGATTTTCCTAGAAATACAAAAACTGGATTATTTCAATAGTTTTTTTGGTAAACCTTTAAAATCACTCAAAAATAAAGTTTTCTTCATTGAATTGTCTTTTGTTAATATTTTTTCCTGTTATAACAATGATAAGTATTGTTATGGTTGCTTGTTTTATCCCATCGTTGAGTAGATCCAAATGATATATGGGCTCTTATGGGGATACCATTCACTTAACGACACGACAATACAACCAACCATGTTAAGAATTACCCATCACATAAAATGTGACTATCGAGACTCAGTGACCTAGTGGGTAGCGGTTTAGTGTTTAAAGCGACTGGTCCTGAGTTCGAACCCCGGTGGGTAAATATCGATCACTGGGAGGCAGGTATGTTCACCTGACAATTCCAGAATAGGACTAGATGCATGTTCTGGATTTCACTGCTAGCCACTATACATCATTAATAAATGATATGTGTTGATTAGTTGTTTCATATTTTTTTTTACTGTTTTTTTTTCTTACCAAAATATTAAGGTTATGGACATATTGCACCAGTAACATTTTGGGGGCGTATAACATGCATTATATACGCTATTATTGGGATACCATTAATGCTTATCTATCTAGCCTTGATTGGTAATATGCTGGCAAGAATGTTTCGTGTAATATTTTTAAATTTACTCTGCTGTCGATGTTTCTATGATACAATTAAACGTAAACGTGAAGAACGTAGAAAACGTCTACAAGAATGGGAACAAAGATTACGTGAACATGAAGAAGAAGAAGCGAAACGTCGAGGTCTACCACTACCTCCAAAAAAGGTAAACTACATAAATAACATAAATACTACTATTATTGTTGTTATTTTTAGTACTATTGTTAATATCTTGTAAACTATGCCGACTTTTTTTACACCAGAACCTCATCTGTCATTGTACTATGCTGTGAGATCAGCGGTGTTGGTTGCATGTACAAATATTCACCAATGATATTGGAAGACGGTTGAGCTAAATCGTGAATTGAAAGAAGTACATAAATGTAGACCATTGAATTCCTACCCAGTAAGTGAATGGCAACGTTCTCACTCCGAGGTTTAACGGTCCCGAGTCTAATTCCCGGCTGCTCGAAGGTGTGCTGTGTTTAGGAGTCTCATAGAAGGACGTAAAAGGCTGTTCATTGCTTCCAAGATTCCACTCCACGATGAATAGTAACTCTTAGTAGATGGTTGTTTGCCGGCTCACGAATAATTCCTTTCAATTAGCAATTGAACAACACAACTCTGATGATGTATTCATATTGGTGACTTTCAGTAGAATCCGCAACACGCGTTTCGTCCTATTTGGGACTTTTCAGCTGGATGTGCCTGCACCACAGTGAGTGAAGTTGTTCCCACTGAGATCCAAACCCATTAATCATAGCATCAAGCATCATAGTGTAATCCACTAGCTCACTGAAGCAAGAGGACTAAAACAAAAAAATACAACTTTGAATATGAGAAAGAAATTAAAGGAAATTACTTAGGGTTTAACTGGCAACTTCAACTGAAAATGATCATTTTCTTTTTCACAACTGATTGGGGATGTTTTGAGAGTATCTCAGTTTATACTATGAAACAATATCAGTGCTTACAAATCTACCATACTGACTTGTAGATTTCATTGGCCAGATAAGAGTGATCTAAGCACTGGACATTGGTGTACATGAAACAATTCTGCCCACAGAAATAGATTGTTCAGACCAACTGAATCTTACCAATTGACTCGGATAGACCGGTGTTATTGATCCCCAACTACTCGTATTGCTCAGTAGTATATTTCAATAACTCATGAGACTTTTGTGTTAGTGGTTACACCTTATGATGTTTGCTGATGGCTGATTTCCAACAGAAACTCTCTTTTTCAAACAACTAGGCAGTTTACAAAGTGAATTTTGGGAATGTGGGGATTTAGAGATTTTTGAAGTTGCCGATCATCATGGATTGACATCAGTTGGAGGAACATTGGAAACATAGGAGCAATGGGACTGTTCGGAGGTGCAGAACCCCCACGACACAACCACGGCTCGATCCCACCACACTCACGTTCCATGGCCAACACATGACCATTGAGTCAGTGTGTCGGTGGAGTCCAGTGTTGCATACTCCCTACTTCTGTCACTTCACAAGATAAAGTGATCACCACCCAATGTCATCGTTGAGTAATTATCCTCACGGTTACCAGGTTTACCCCACTGGTAACGACTTCCCATTGGAACTTCGAGAATCACCTCTCGAAGCTAGTCCACGATGAATACCGAGTTGAAAAATATCTGTAAATCCGCACAACCACCCCCCACCCCACCCTCGAAATTCAACTGAATTAGTGCTCATTGGTGACCAGCTTTGAGAGGTGATTCCTGAAGTTTGAATGAGACATGGTGACCAGTTAGGCAAATGTGGTGACGGTGAGGATAAATAGTCAACGATGACATTGGGTGGTGGTCGCTATTGAATTGGAAGTATGTTGTCAGGTGAAGGTCGATGAGTATCATGACACTTGAACTTTTGAGTTTTGTGCGTTCTCAAATGTTTGTATCTTCAGTGAGTAGGAGAGATATAGTTTCTTTGAACAATTGGGGTTTGATAGGGAATAATTGCAAACCCCTTTTCCAGTCATGACAGAGATGAAACAGGCCGTCGAGTGGAACTGAAATAGGGAACGATGATTTTGGCGTCTGAGCCGACGGTGATATGAGATTGTGTGAATAATAAATGAAAGTTTGTGGTTAGTGGTGGCGTCAGGTTGAGAGGAGTGAAGAGAAGAGAGTGAAATGTTGATGTGCTACTGAAGCTCTCTGTTTCACTAGGAACCCAAGAAATAAAAAATAAACTACTAAAATTCATCATGAACTGACATCACTTGGAGAACCATTGAAAGCCTTTTACAGATGAGCCTTTTCCTCGTCGTAGTATAAGTCTCCCCAGCAGTATATACGCTAATTCACACCAAGGATAGTATGCAGAGCTTTCAAGATCTCCATGTTTCACGTCGAATGAGTTAACCTTTCAGTCATTGGGTTGAAGGTTAATGATCCATAATTTCCTATTTCTGTCAATCTTCTATGTGATTCGACTATCCAGCATTTTCACCCTTATTATGATGAAATATCTGACTACACTACAACATTTTCCAAGGAAATCACATATGTTCTTCAATGTCACCTCTTTGTTTTTCAGTAAACATATTTCTATTCATTTTAGTCTCTAATGTAATTTTTCATTGTTTATATTTTGATATAATGTTATCTGTTAAATATTAAGTACTTATACCGCCTCATTCAACAACTATATGAAGATGCCACATGCCAGCCAAGTAATTCACAATGGGAAGCTCAGTGATGATTTTGAAGTGAAGACAGGAGTGAAACAAGGTTGCCTACTATCACCCATGATATTCCTGATTGTGGTCAACTGGATCACGCAGCAAACAGTGGGCAGCGAGAAGAGGGGGATACATTGGCTAGACTGCGGAAAAGAACCTAGAAGACTTGGATTTCGCCAACGATGACTTGTGCCTGATGTCACATAAACTTGAAGATCTACAGGCAAAAACTAACAAGTTGATAGAAGAGGCAGTGAAGACGGGACTTCAAGTGAATATAGAGAAGACAGAAGTGATGAAGATACCGCACCACCACCACCACCACCAACAACAACAACAACAACAAACTCCAGTCACCATCAGTGGGAGAAACTTAAAGGAAGTAACCTCCTTCACCCACCCTCCTAGGAAGCACTGTTTCAACTACAGGCAACACAGGCACAGACGAGGATGTGAAAGTCAGAATCGGAAAAGCAAGACAGGTGTTCATTAGCCTGAAACCAGTGTGGAGATCTTCTGCACTCAGCATGTGGACACAAGATCCGGATTTTCAACACCAATTCAGTCAAGTCAGTGCTTCTGTATGGTTCAGAGACTTGGCACCTCACGAAAGGCATTTCCAATAAACTACAGAGATTCATCAACAACTGCTGACCATGCTGGCTCGCTGCTGAAGATCAGATGACCAGAATAATGAGAATAAGCAACGAGGAGCTCTGGGAACGAACCGACCAAGAACCTATCACTAAACAAAGATGCAGTTGAAGGAAGTGGAGATGGATTGGGCATGCACTGAGAAGGTCGACTGGGGACATCACGCGTCAGGCCAGTTGCTCAAGCGGAATCCCCATGGGAAGCGACGAGTTGGGCGTCGTAGTTGAGGGTGACATGGAGGAGGTCGTGCGAGGAAGAAATGAGAGCTTCTAGGCTGTCGTGGAACCAAGTTCGAAAGATCTCAGAGAACAGAGGTCACTGGAGACGTGCTCCTGAAGCTGTATTTTCCACTAGGAACCCAAGGGACTAATAAGAGTCTGAAAAATTAGTTATTATTCATATGAGTATATTGGGACTTAGGTAAATTATTTCAGAGAGATATACTACTAAAAAACATAAGTAGTTAGAAACTATCCACACTAATCTGGAGATTTCCTTAGCTACATCAAGTTGATATATATATATACCAGATGACCATCTTTGTCGTTTGAGACTGGGCTCACCAGTAATGTATGCAGATAGATTCATTTCAAAGACGAACGTGAATTTTTAAAAATTCAACTAAACCTGACCAGTTAGCTAGCTGACTTTTCAGACTGGTATACCTTAAATAAGATGACTGATTTGTAAATTGTGCTTTATTCACCAAAACTAGTTGTAGTCGAATGCTTATTGAACTTTTCACTTGGTCTAACTCCAGTTTCTATGGAATTTTTATTGAAAACCATCTAATCAAGATCATGATGCATGATTTCTAACAAAAATGTGTCATGAACTAACCAAATATAAACTAGTGAGTTTAATAAATTAGCAGTTATAAAACTACTCAGTTGTGATACCTCTGAACACCAACCGGGTAGTTTGTTGACATTTTCCAAATGAATCATCCAATTGCAAAGGGATATGTAGAGGCTCATAAGTGAGTTCACCAACACAAGTTCACTTTGAAATTATTATAAATCTGAAAAACAAAAGAAAAGCAGAACAATGCAAGCTGATAACTCAGTAGTCAAATAAAGTGTACCAAAGAGTAATTATAGAAGGCGACCGAGCATAATTAGCAGTGAATTAGTCAGAAGGAAAAGTAATCTGAAAAAAAAAATTAGGACTAGAAAAGGAGGTAGAAAGATATTACAGTTTTTCAAGTTAGTATTCATCATGGACTGATATAAGTTGGAGAAACACTGAAAACCTGGGAGTACTAAACATCTGTTTCATCCTAGTATGGCATTCCTCAGAAGTGTGCATCTATCACCCTCCAACGGCTGCAATCGAACGCATGACCTTCAGGTTTCCTGACCAGCACGTTATCATTGAGCCGCTGAGTCGGCGGAATCCAGTGGCCTATATTCCCAACTTCTGTTAGTTCACGACATAGCATGACCATTATCCAATGTCATCGTTGAAGATTTGTCCACGAGGTTCGCCCCACTATTGACGACTTCTGAGATCATCTTTCGAAGCTAGCCGCCAATGAGTACCAGATCAATTGAACCCCCAACTTCATTAGATATTGCAATGTTTTATTATACATACAACTATGATAGTCATTTTCAAAATGTGCTTCATTTCCTCTACTGCTTCCATCTTGATTTGCTTGTTGGTAATTCCCTACAATTTCTGTTGCACTCTCAACATATACCACTTATATCCATTCTGATCAACAGCACCCACTATAGTATTACTTGGGTGTATGTTCAGCACCACTGAACTGAAGGTTTCAGCTGTCCTCTATGCAGTTAAAGGAT